GGCAAGAATACTGGAGTGTGGGTTGCCATTTCCTTTTCCAGGGGGTCTTCCAGACCCAGGGATTGAACCTGTGTCTGTTTCATCTCCTGCATTGGCAGGCAGGTTCTTTACTAGCTGAGCCACTGGGGAAGCCCTGAAAAACACTGTAGTGAGTGGGAGAAAAGGGGAGGGAAATAGTCACTTGCTACACAGAAATCAGAATATAAGAAATGCTTAAGTTTGTGGTAGATGTCATAAGGCCTGCATTGAGCCCTGAAGAGATTAAATTTCTGGAGAAGTTAAGAGCAGTGGTCCTCCGTATGCCATCATGGATCACTTGGGACCAAAATAACCTAGGAGGTTTGTTTAAAATGCAGATTACTAGGCCTCATCCTGGGAGCAGTAAAAATGAATGAGGATTATAACCCAGCAATCTGTGCATTTATGAGACTACAGGCTTCAGCAACATGTGAAGCATGAACTTCCAGATGTTCAAGCTGGTTTTAGAAAAGGCTTTTAGAACCAGAGATCAAATTGCCAACATCCGCTGGATCATCAAAAAAGCAAGAGAGTTCCAGAAAAACATCTATTTCTGCTTTATTGACTATGCCAAAGCCTTTGACTGTGTGGATCACAATAAACTGTGGAAAATTCTGAAAGAGATGGGAATACCAGACCACCTGACCTGCCTCTTGATAAACCTGTATGCAGGTCAGGAAGCAACAGTTAGAACTGGACATGGAAAAACAGACTGGTTCCAAATAGGAGAAGGAGTATGTCAAGGCTGTATGTTGTCACCCTGCTTGTTTAACTTATATGCAGAGTACATCATGAGAAACGCTGGGCTGGAGGAAGCACAAGCTGGAATCAAGATTGCAGGGGAAATATCAATAACCTCAGACATGCAGATGATACCACCCTTATGGCAGAAAGTGAAGAAGAACTAAAGAGCCTCTTGATGAAAGTGAAAGAGGAGAGTGAAAAAGTTGGCTTAAAGCTCAACATTCAGAAAACTAAGATCATGGCATCTGGTCCCATCACTTCATGGGAAATAGATGGGGAAGCAGTGGCTGACTATTTTTCTGGGCTCCAAAATCACTGCAGATGGTGACTGAAGCCATGAAATTAAGAGATGCTTACTCCTTGGAAGGAAAGTTATGACCAACCTACACAGCACATTAAAAAGCAGAGACATTACTTTGTGAACAAAGGTCTGTCTAGTCAAGGCTATGGTTTTTCCAGTGGTCACGTATGGATGTGAGAGTTGGACTATAAAGAAAGCTGAGCACCAAAGGATTGATGCTTTTGAACTGTGGTTTTGGAGAAGACTCTTGAGAGTCCCTTGGACTGCAAGGAGATCCAACCAGTCCATCCTAAAGGAAATCAGTCCTGGGTTTGGAAGGACTGATGTTGAAGCTGAAACTCCAATACTTTGGCCACCTGATGCAGAGAGCTGACTCATTTGAAAAGACCCTGTTGCTGGGAAAGATTGAGGGCAGGAGGAGAAGGGGACAACAGAGGATGAGATGGTTGGATGGCATGACCAACTCAATGGACATGGGTTTGGGTGGACTCTGGGAGTTGGTGATGGACAGGGAGGCCTGGCGTGCTGCAGTTCATGGGGTTGCAAAGAGTCAGACACGACTGAGTAACTGAACTGAACTGCCTTAAAGGATGACTGGATTGAAACAAGGATAGCAACTTTCCCAACAACCACAACCTTGGGAGCAAAGAGATGGGGGAGGTATGGTTTGTTTGAGAGATGCAATAAGGCAAAAGGTCTCTAGGGAGAATGAGGGACCAGGTTTAGGTAGGACTTGTTTCACTTAGCATAATATTCCCTAGGTTCATCTGTGTTGTCACAATGACAAGATTTCCTGATTTTTTATAGCTGAGTGATATCCCATGGCCTGTGTTTGCTATATCTTCTTTATCCATTCATCTATTGATGCAGACACTTACATAGCTTCCATGACTTGGTTATTGTGAATAATGCTGTCCATGTTACTTTTAACATATGTTTTCAGAGTATTTTTTTATTTATTCAGTCATTCAGTAAATATTTATTGAGTGTGTTTGTGCTCAGAGTCGTGTTTGACTCTGCAACCCTATGAACTGTATTCTGCCAGGCTCCTCTGTCCATGGAATTCTCCAGGCAATACTGGAGTGGGTAGCAACTCCCTCATACTACGTGCTTTTGCTCAGAGTAAATTTTTATCTTGAGCCTGAGAATTTCTTTAAAACCATGAGATTTGAACATTGGAAGGAGGGAACCTTAAAGATCAATTTCTTCATGTTTCAAGCCAGAGAAAACTGAAATCCAAATGAAATTGTCCATGTCTCACCATGTGTTAACAGCAGAGCTGCTGGGAAAACCCAGATCTCTATGTACCACCCTGAGTGATGTCAGAGAACACGCTCACCTTGGGTTTGTCCTCACCTTTTTCCTCCCATGAAAGTCAAGTCAGGTCACATCCCTTTCAGTGGTTTTGTCTCCTGAAGTGAATAGCTCTGGAAAAATTTAATGGTAGCAGGAATACAGAATCTCTCATATTAAATATCTAGAGGAAGCCAAATGTTCTGAATTTCATTGTTTTTCTCTTAAAAAAAGTAACAGTTTAATTTATATACCATGTAGTTTCTATACTTTGTTTGGATACTTTTGCCTATAGTATTAATAACTCACATTAAAAATGTGTTTATTGGTGGGAATGCAAGCTAGTACAGCCACTATGGAGAACAGTGTGGAGATTCCTTAAAAACCTGGAAATAGAACTGCCATATGACCCAGCAATCCCACTCCTAGGCATACACACCGAGGAAACCAGAACTTAGAGAGACACGTGTATCACAATGTTCATCACAGCACTGTTTAGAATAGCCAGGATATGGAAGCAACCTAGATGCCCATCAGCAGACGAATGGATAAGAAAGCTATGGTACATATACACAATGGAATATTACTCAACCATTAAAAAGAATACATTTGAATCAGTTCTAATGAGATGGATGAAACGAGCCCATTATACAGAGTGAAGTAAGCCAGAAAGATAAAGACCATTACAGTATCCTAACGCATAAATATGGAATTATAGAAAGATGGTAACTATAACCCTATATGCAAGACAGAAAAAGAGACACAGATGTACAGAACAGACTTTTGGATTCTATGGGAGAAGGCGAGGGTGGGATGATCTGAGAGAACAGTATCGAAACATGTATATTATCAAGTGTGAAACAGATCACCAGTCCAGGTTGGATGCATGAGACAAATGCTCAGGGCTGGTGCCCTGGGAAGACCCAGAGGGATGGGATGGGGAGGGAGGCAGGAGGGGGGATCAGGATGGGGAACACATGTAAATCCATGGCTGATTCATGTCAATGTATGGCAAAAACCACTACAAGATTGTAAAGTAGTTAGCCTCCAACTAAAAAAAAATTAATGAAAAAAATAAAAAATGTGTTTAGCTATCATGGCTGAAGGAAGCATCATATTAAAAAAAAATTTTTTTTTGTGCCTGGAAATGAGGAAAGTACATGTATATGTAAAGAAAGGAAGCATTCCATCATTAAATAATATTTTTAAGGTCATATAGATTTTATTTTTTTTCAAACTGTAAACTTTTTATTTTGCGTTGAGGTATAGCCTAGCCAGTTAACAATGTTGTGGTAGTTTCAGGGGAACAGCAAAGGGACTCAGCCATACATACACATGTATCCATTCTGCCCCAAACCCCTCTTCCATCCAGGCTGGCACATAACATTGAGAAGAGTTCCACGTGCTGTACAATAGGTCCTTGTTGGTTATCCATTTTGAATACAGCAACGTGTATAAGACCTTCCCAAACTCCCTAACTATCCCTTCCTCCTGGCAACAATAAGTTCGTTTCCTAAGTCTGTGAGTCTTTGTTTTGTAAGCTCATTTGTATCATTTCTTTTTAGATTCCACATCGAAGGGATGTTATATGATGCTTCTCCTCCTCTGTCTGACTCACTCCACTCAGTATGACACTCCCTAGGTCCATCCATTAAACAATATTTTCTGAGCTGTATATTTTCACTCCGTGATAATAATGTGTTGCCTGAATAGATTAGGAGCAATTCAGAGACAAGGTCGGCTGCTCGTTTGATCCCTCATGTCCTTTTGCTGACCCAGTGCAATATGCCCCTGAGGCATATCTTTCATCAACTATCAATCTTTGGAATTTTCTCCCAAATCTTTTTTTTAATTAATTTTTATTGGTGTGTGTGCTAAGTCACTTCAGTCGTGTCCGACTCTGCAACCCTCTGGACGGTAGCCAGCCAGGCTCCTCTGACCATGGAATTCTCCAGGCAAGAATACTAGAGGGGGTTGTCATGCCACCCTCCCGGGGATCTTCCCGACCCAGGGACTAAATCCACGTCTCTTATGTATCCTGCATTGGCAGGCGGGTTTTTTGTTGTTGTTGTTGTTGTTGTTGTTGTTTACTGCTAGTGCCACCTGCGATTGGAATATAGTTGATATACAATGTTGTTTTCGTTTCTGCTGTATGGTAAAGTCAGTCGGTTTTACATATACACATATCCACTCTCCCAAATCCTTTTAACATTTGCGGAACCAATACTGTGTTGAGAGGAAGTCACAGGCTTTCAGTCTGAAGGATATCACATATTTTAATGAGAGAGAGACAGGTGGTGCTGCTGGGTTTGAGAGTATCATATCACTCTCAGCTTTGAGGCTAGAGTATGTGACGCATGCCTTCTTCTGCAGTAATAATGTACCAAACTGGAGGGCTGCTCCAGTTCCCAAAGAACAGAGTTAAGTGCATCTTCTTCCGCCTCATTGTTTGCATATTAAATTATGCTCAAAATCACCAGTAGTATTTTTTTCCCTGAAAATTTGAGGAAAGCACAGGCCGTGGTTGATTAATAAAAACCAAAGACCCCATCCATGTTTGTTAAATGTGGGCCACTTCTGCATCCGCAACTGTTAAGGTTTTAAACCTGCCTGTGTCTAGCTTCCCTTGTTTTTCCTCCTGAAGCTGCAAGAGAGATCGTCTGGTTAGAAAGGGAAGAGCGGGCCAGGCAGCACTACGAGAAGCACCTGGAGGAGCGGAAGAAGAAGCTGGAGGAGCAGAGGCTGAGGGACGAGCGGAGGCGGGCTGCCGTGGAGGAGAAGCGGCGGCAGAGACTCGAGGAGGACAAGGTCCGATGCTGCCCTGGGGACGCGCGGGGCGCGTCTGTCTCAGGAGCACAGCGCGTTAACTGGGAAGCTTCCCACGGAGGTGCCGGGATGCACAGCTCACGTGTCTGTGGCAGCAGATTTGCCAGCAGTCATAGTTTCTAGGGGCTTTCCTGGTGGTTCAGACAGTAAAGAATCCACCTGCAATGTGGGAGACGTGGGTTCGATCCCTGGGTCAGGAAGATCCGCTGGAGAAGGGAACGGCTACCCACTCCAGTATTCTGGCCTGGAAAATTCCATGGACAGAGGAGCCTGGCAGGGTACAGTCCATGGGGGTCACAAAGAGTCAGACACGACTGAGCAACTTTCACTTTCATAGTTTCTAGGGAGGTTGTGGTGTGGAAATCAGGTTGAGAATGATGTGATTGTCATTGTTTCCACAGGACCTTTAAAAGCTCATTTCTCTGGTCTGGACCTGTAACTTGTTTATGTTTACTTCATGCATGCTGAAGTGTTAATCCCAGCAACTGGGCTTCTGTAGGGCTTTACCATTTATAAATGTTTTCACATCGATTATCTCATTTCATTCTTGCTCAACCTTTGAGTGTTACCACTTTCTGTGGAAATGAAGATTTAGACGCAGAATAGCTAAGTTACACAAAGTCATACAGTCCATTAAATTGCAGGGTCGGGATTACCCACATCCTCAGATTCTGGATTCTGTTTTTAAATACAGTACCACATGTGTTACATCTGCTTAAACTAAGACCTGCGCTACGGGCTTATGTTAGTTGATGGAAAAGCATCACACTCCCAGTAGTGTGCTAAGATGCTTCAGTCGTGTCTGACTCTTTGTGACCCTATAGACTGTAGCCCACCAGGCTCCACTGTCTATGGGATTCTCCAGGCAAGAATATGGAGTGGGTTGCCATGCCCTCCTCCAGCGGATCTTCCCAACCCAGGGATGGAACCTGCATCTCACAACTCCTGCATTGGTAGGCAGGTTCTTTACTGCTAGTGCCACCTGAGAAGTCAGTGGTAACAGTAATAGTCCTTTTTTTAAGTACCCGCTGTATGCCAAGGCCTTTGTCAGCTGGAACCTAATAATTTCAGTAACCACCCACCCACCCCCATGTTGATAGAACTACTCTCACCTTAAAGTGTAGAGGTTAGGAATCTTCTGAGTATTAGGAGTATTAAGGTTAAAATTTAAGTAGTACCTCTCACTTCACTCTGCCTTAAGTTGAAGAATCCTCCAACAACCAGGTAGAATCTAGTCATCAACTCCTCTGTTCCATTTAAAGGAGCGTCATGAAGCCGTCGTGCGACGTACAATGGAGAGGAGCCAGAAGCCAAAACAGAAACAAAACCGGTGGTCATGGGGAGGTGCTCTCCACGGGAGCCCAAACATCCACAGCACAGGTAAATGGAGAAGCCGCTTTCCAAAATTACTATTTTTTAAATCACAGTTAAAGTCACTGTTACTTTTTTATTCTGTGTTTGTAAAAAAAAAAAAAAAACCTGCATAAATAAATAAGCTACAATGAAATGATGCTTCTACTGTTTGAGGATAAGAGGGTGATGGAGGTAAGAAGATAAGGTTCCCTCCCTCCACACAGGCTGCTTTTCTCATTTGTTACAAAGTTCTTTAAAGAAGCAGAAATTTGTACAATTTTTCTCAGCAACTATTTTCAGTTCTACATTATTTTGGTAATTTATTTGCCTAGGGGTTTCAAGATTATGGAATGGGTTAACCAGTTTTGCCTTTTTCTCTGCAAGAATCCTAGCACCGTTGCCGATCAGGATCAATCCTATGAGCTTATGTATTCTGATCCTAAAGTATATGCAACACGAAGGCTCTGCAAGAGGAAGTGCAGATTTCTGAAGCTAGAAATAGCAGTGAATGTCCAAGCGCTTCCTTGTTCTTAAATTGACTTAAAATCCTACTGAAATTTGGACTTAGTGAAAGGCTTTATTTTTGTACTGTAAATTCAATACACCTTGAATTTTATATAGAGTGTCAGTTTCATATGTGTGAGTCTAATAAGCTTTTTTTTTTGTTTGTTTAATTTACTTTGGAAAATCATTGTCTTACATTCTGTCCCCAGGTGGTTTTGTTGAATCATCATTCACCTTTCTCGATTTAGCAGGCCTGGACCACCACTTCACAGCTTTTGGTGGTACTAGAAAACCTGGTACAGACCTCCTTGTGACTCGCTGATTGCCTGACCTGTAGCTAGCACCCCAGACGAGGGCCAGTTCATCAGTAGCTGAACCCTGCCGCCTTAGTCATAATGCATGCTTGATATCCTACTGCATAGACCTAGGTCTGGACATGGCACAGTGTCAAGTGTTGACAGTATAACTCGAGTGACTTAAAGGTACTGAAATAAAGTAATTCCCTGTGATCTGTTTACTTTTTCTTTAAATGATCATTTTGGATAAAACCTTAAAGAAAATGTTTTTTCACTGATAAATCACCTGAGGTCAAAGCGCATCCAGTTTGGCTTCATTTCACCCTGCCTCCATCAATACAGCTATTGTCACTTTGTTTTCATATAAACAACTATGGATTTTTGTTTGTTCTCTCTATTCCCTTTCATTGCTGACATTCAGTGTATCTTCCATAGCCTCATCATTTACAAAATCTAAAAGCATGTTGCCACAACTTTCTTTCCTATGCAGTGAACCAAATTTGAAAGCATGTTTTTCCCCCTCGGCTCTCCATGCCCAGTTTTATTTGCCGTGGGGCACATCAAATCTGTGGTCCTAAGGATCATTTACATGTGATATTTCATTCTAGGTATAATTTTGCATATTTGTTCCATACAGAAAAAGCCATCATGGTATGTGCTTTTATAACATTACTTATTTTTCTTTCGTTTGCCTTCATGTTTTACATGTGCATGTTAAACAGGTAAACCTGTACAGATTTTCAAGTTTTTTGTTTTTTGTTTTTTTTTTTTAGCTGCAGTGTGTGACATGCAGGATCTTAGTTCCCCCTGCAGTGGAGGCTGGGAGCCCTAATCACTGGGCTCCCAGGGAATTCCCTCCAACATTTTTGAGGGGATATCGAGTTACTTAGCTTTACTTCTTGCTTCCATGCTTAGAGTTCAATATATGGCCTCTGTTATTGCCACTCAGAGTTGTATTTGTGAGCTGTTGGATAAATCATTTTTTATTAGGGCTGTGAATTAGAGAAAATTACTCCTATAATATAACAGAGAAGTTTGAAAATAATGAGAATTTACCAGAATTCTCAATAGTCAGAATAATTTGCCAAGATCTCAAGAGCAGTAACCAGGTCTTGCTCATTTTGCCTACTCCTTACTTCACAACAGTGCTCACTTGTGGTGGACACAACAAACAAATCCTGGAAATTAACTTTAATCTAGATCAAATCAGTGTGTTTTCTGACTGTTCCCACATCAGCTAGCCCTGCTTTGTAAAGACTATACTTTTTAATCGAGTTCTTCATAAATCCTTTTGTGAATTTGTGTTTTGTTCAGAGAGGGGAAAAAAAAGACTATAAAGATTCTTATTTGTTAAGTAATATAATAAATACATATTTTATCTCCATAAATTTAATTATGTGTGATAGGCCTACATGTAGACACAATTTCCTCCCAACTGAAGCTGAACATATAAAACAATATCAGAAAATGTATTGCTATGAAATGTCCTGGAAATAACTTTCCTTATCCTTCTTTGTGTCCTTAAACCTCACATTTTGTCATTGTTTCTTTAGACATTTTACCCCAAGTCTTTTCTTTGTTAGGATTCCCCTAAGAGCCCATCCATTCAGTGTGAATTTGAGTCACAGAAATGGTGTTTGGTTTTTTTCTTTTGATGATTAAATCACTTCATATAAATCAATGATACTTCAATAAATTAGAAAATTTTTTAATTGCTTCAACTGTAAAGATGAGTCCCTGTAGAAGATAGGAATATCTGATGTTGGTGGAAGACTTACTTATCCCCTGTACACTGTAAATAATGGCCAGAAGTGGTTATTCTGTGGGAGAAAGTTTAACATATTTACTCCCAGGGTTAGTTTAGACAGGTGGAAGCAGGGTTTGAAGGCCTCTCCCATAGGGAATATTTTGGTTTGTGTTCAGTTTTAGAAGCTAACCATAGAAAATAAAACAGAATACATCAAGAGTCCTTGAACTTTGGCTAATATAGGTCAGAACAAGTCCCTGCATCCTAAATAAATAAAATAATGAGGTTTTTTAGACTTTCATTATATGTAGTTGTATTCAGGGAACATGACATACACTAGTGAGTATAGTTACAGCTTGGTTCCACTGTTCAGAGAGCAAACCACCAGAGTTGATTTTTCCCTTTTATACAGATATTATTTCTCTTCTAACTTGAAGAATTACTCTAAAATTATCCAACAGCAATAAGAATGTTATTAATAAACTTAATTCTGATTATCTTTGCATGGCCGCCAGTTTTGTTAGGTAAGTTTGTGGGCTGATTCATAATGTGTCTGTAAACCACACTCATCTCTGTGATCTAGGCACACAGAGGTGGTCCTTAGTAGATTTTAAAAAAAGAAATGCTCTAGGGGCCATCCTTTTCGCACCTGCAGTGTTGCTTTTTTTGTTTCTGATTAATCTGTTTTTCTATAGTGTCCTTTGTAAAATGACTTTATAAGCAAAAGTATCAGCAAATGCACAGACCCTGGTGTTTTTTATTCTAGTGTTTGCATTCTGTCTCACCAGCACTATTACTGCCCCATTGTTTCTCCTTTGGGAAATTATGAAGGCACTCCCTTCTGTAGACCCGCTTTTGCTTCATGGGCTGCCTCCATCATTTTCGTTGCCCTCCACTGGTTTCCCTTTGGTCTTCTCCGTTTGTTGTGTTGTAACCATATACTTGAACTTCCCTGGCTGGCAAACTGGTGAACTAAATAGTTCTTTAATATTTTTATTCTATATTTTTATTTTCCTGTAAGAAAAATGAGTATTATTTCTGGCCTTTAAGTTACCTTAAAATGTCCACTTAGAAAACTGTGCTATAGTAAAGATCTAGCCATAGAGCTGAAAGCATCCAATCCTAGTTTTTCCTTCCATCAGTGAACTAGGAAATTGCAATCCTGCATGCTGGCTGTCAATTAGCATTATCTCCATTTGTTTTAGATCCAGACAGGCGGTCAGTTTCCACCATGAATCTTTCGAAACATGTTGATCCCGTCATTAGCAAGCGGCTCTCCTCTTCATCTGCAACTTTACTAAATTCTCCAGATAGAGGTACAGTCAAAAGGAAAACAAAAAAAGTGTTCTGTTATTTCCTTAATGCTTTTATTTTTTGGATGTTTGCAGCTAAGAATAAGCATCTGAAGTTGCTTTCCCTACGTTTCTTAAATAGGAAGAAAAAAACTTCAGAGTAAAAAAGCAATAAACGTCTGAGCAGCATTTTCCTTGCGACAAGAACATTTCTCATTTTAGAACTTGGCTGAATGATTGCATTTAGCAGTGATGAAAAGCGGTGCTTCTCTCAAGTTTTTAGTACAGGAGTTTACAGCTCCAGAAATCACCCACTTATCCACCAACATGCTAATAATCTGTTATGAACATTTATTTCATTTCAATCAGATTGTCTTTGACATTTCATCTGTACTTGGGGAATTCCAGGCATTAACATTCTAAAAAAATCTTTTTAAATGACTCATGTTGGCAGATTTCATTTTGCTAACTTATTTCTCCTTTAACCAAACCTTTCTTACTGCATTTCTTGTGTGTGTGACTGGTTTTTTTGGTGTCCATTCATTTAAAGGGATATGGTCCAACTTTAAGAATATCATCATGTAAGCTTCCTAAAAATTTCAGTATTCATAGTCCTCCAGTTAACATTTTATTTGAATTTTGAGTTTTATTCATCCCATGGATTTACAGTACATGAATGCTGAGTTACTTTTAAAATTAAAGTTTCATTCTATGTATTTATATATCATAGAATGAAAAATCAAGCTTTTAAGATAAGCTACTTGTTTTACATAACTAAAACAATTTTAAATTTGAAAAACCAAAGAATTATTGTGCAATATAAAAACACATACTCTTTGAAAGTAACAAATTGTGGTTCTTTTGAATGCTTTATCAAGAAACTGATTGGTTTTGAACTGTTTATAGTCTTTAAAAAAGATTGTAATGTGTGCATGTTCTATATGTGTGCATGTGTATTTGTATATTTTGTATTGTATAAAAGTTATGGTGTCATTGTAATGTATAATATAATGTGTTGATGTTAGAATTAATCTCTTAAAGCAGTAAATGTTTGAACAACTTCAATTTTTGCCTTTTAACCTAAATCTTTTTTTTAACCTAGTTTGCCTAAATTATTGATATTAGATGGGCCTTTTATATGTTAGGGATAAGTATTATGAATTGAAGCTCCTTTCATAAGTAGCCTTTATTTTTAAGCCAATTCCCTTAGTGTAAAATATGCATACTATTCTTAGCAGTCTTTTCTTTGGAATTGGCCACTTAGCACTTGAATTTTATATTTTTGTGAACATGGATCTAAGACAAACCATAATCGGGATTTCACAGTAATTTTCAGTTAAACCTTGCTTATTGATCCCGTAGCTGAAACTGGGGCAATGTTGGGAGTGGGGATAAACTGACCAGTATCCTATCCACACTTCTATGGAGTGACAGTACTGTGTCAGCTAGTATCTGACACATGATGGTATATGACTGGATAGTCTGAAGTAATCGGATCGTAGAACGGGGAAAAACTTGGATGGCTCGACTGGATGGCAGAGCCCCTGAGAAATGAAGAGCCTGACGTCATAACCGGCAGGTTAATCACGGAGAAGAGGGGTTAGAGCGGAGATCGCCAGCTCCCAACTCATGAGGATGCTGTGATGCATCTGCAGTTCTCTCCTTCATGGGTGTCCTTCCTTACATTAATCCTGACTCCATCCACTCTGCCTTTGGTGAGGTTAAGGGTCAGGGAAAGTTCAAGCAGTGAATAGCTGGAGCCAGGAAATTGCCCCTTCAATCATGGTACAGGTCTGTAAAACCTGATGCCAAGCTAGACCAAAAGGACAAGGAGGACAGCACTAAATTTGGGGGTTCCACTTCTCTGCCCCCTTATCAAAAGAACTGTGATCCAGTTCTGGTTTAATTGGTGAGGTCAGCCTGGAAGAAAAATCTGGTTCATCCAGAGGCTCCCATGTGGTTCAGGAAGCAATTTTTTTTAAGTTAGACAGAACAATCAGTAGCACAGTGAGAAGGTTCTGTCTTTTAATGAGAATCTTCTGCATTTGAACTTCTCTAATTTGAGAGATCTAAGTAATTTAGTTAGTATAATTTCTTTTCTGCTGTCTATTTGTTAAATTCAATTATGCTTTGTTATCGAAGTAGAAAGCATTCTTATCAAATTATTAGAGGCTTTTACAGTTTAGTCTTTAGAGAGTGTACACCATTACTAGATTGTTTGAGCTTTCTCAGCCCTACAAGCACAGGACTTAAAGGTGATGTTAAATTGAAGCTCTGATACTATCAAAGTTGACATTCAACTGAAATGCTCTGCTGGTTAATTCAAAATGCTGGAATATTTCCATACCAGTTGGTAAATATCCACTTCCTCAAGCTGTGCTTCCCCAGGCCCTCCAGAGTTAAAGGGGTTAAAGAGTGTTACCTACAAGCTCTGTACCTTGCCCCATCAATTTTTAAATGTTTTGATTATCACACTTGGATATAGAGTCACATAGACTGATAAAATGACCCTGGGTAAGGAAACCCCTGACTACTAAAGATTTCTGTAATTGCTGCAACAGAGACAATATTGCCACTGGGAATTTTTGCATTAAAAGTGTTTATTATTAAGCTTCCTTCTTCACCAGTTTCCCCTCCCTCCTCAAGGAAGACTGAGTATTTGAAAAAAATAAGAAGGAAATTGGCTACTCTTAGCTGAAAATCAGTCCATACATTTGTCCCCCCACCCCCCACCCCCAGAATCTAGATTAGAGGACATGGTGGTGGACCTAAAGCTGAATTCGGCCCGCATGTTGTTTGGCCTGAGAATGGGTTTTTTGTTGTTGCTACTGTTTTAGTTCAAACTATGCCATCATATGAAAAAAAAAATGGAAGATATCATAGAACATTTCAGGATGTAACAATATGTACCTGATTTCTACGTGGCACCCATCATTAGGAACTAAATAGTGATTTCCTGCTTGTGGAGGAACAGGGCAGCACAAGTATCTGTAATGTTTAGTTGCCTCCTTGGACCAGACTGTCTCTTAAGGGAATTGTCAATATCTCATTTTAACTGCTTAAGGAGGATCATACTATAGTTGTTTCATGAGAATTAATACCTTTTCCTTCAGCATCTTATCTCAAGATCAGGCCCTTCTAGGTTGAAAAAATTTTTAAAGTAACTCTCCTGTACTAACCTTTACTAAAAATTTATCTTATCTTCTCTCTTGCTTAGGGCATAGTTAAGAATATGGTAGAACTGGAAACGTATTTCTCCTAGCAACATCTTTCATTCAGAGTTCCGAAGTTATTAAAACAAATCTCTTCGGATTTGCTTTAAACCCAAGTCAAAGAGGGTGTTTAATGATCTTCATTTGAAGCAGATTCTTTGGTTGATACCTTAAAGACGAAACAGAAATAGAGCAATTATACTTCTTAATCGAGGAGAAAAAGCAGATATGTCTTTTCAATGATAGACCAACTCTGCAGTTTTGACTCATTTATTCTACAGTTTATCTAAGAAAAGGAAGGATTCACCTCTTCTTTCCTTTATCATCTACTGAAATTACAATTCTGTTGAAGATTTTAATTTAATCCTAATTACTTCCCCCACTGATTTAATTCTCTGAATGTATTCTAATTTTAGGTTAGATTATGTTCTGTTGATACACACACACATACACACACACACTGCCATACTATAGCTTATAATGGCACTTATCCTATTGTGCATTCTACCAACTGTATTATAATAGTTTTTATAACAGATTTTTTTATGTATGTCTTCATATCAACAGATAAGGTTTAATTTCACCATGAAGACTCTCCCCCCAAAACCCAGAAAATCTAATAAACTATTCACTAATTCTTAAATACACCAGTGCATGATCAAAATGGCTACCCTAAAAGTCAGGTAGTTAAGGTACTTATTGGAGGTTGGTACCTCCCTTTGAAATAGCAGATATTTTCTTTAACAACCTTTAACAATGGATGGCTTCTATTAACTAAAATTAATTTTCTGGAAGTTAGAAGTCATTTCTTTAAAATATAACATATATAAAAAATTATTATAAGAATAGTTGCTCCAGAGGCCAGAGGACTTGCACCTGCTGTTTGTGGTGTAGAGCAGAATGGCCTTGTCAGGTTTAGTTTTAAAGGTTTTATAAGTGATTTGGGAGTATGTTCTAAAATATACAGTCCTCCCTTGGTATCCACAGGAGGTTAGTTCCAGGAACTGCTGCAGACACCAAGATCCTCAAGTGCTTGAGCCCCATAGTGAACCCTCTGCATCTGCAGGTTCTGCATCCGTGGATACCAAGGGCCAATAGTATACTTGGTGGGAAAAATCCACATATAAGTGAACCTGTGCAGTTCAAGTTCTGTTGTTTAAGGGTCAAGTCTATATGATCACTTTATTTTAGTGACATTTGTAGGATTTTGCAAGCTTCTTCCCTGATATCTTTGGAAAGTAGCTTCTGTATTTTCATAGACCATTATTGGAAACTAATAGCATAAGCAAAGTAATTTATTTGTAATTCGCTTGCATTTCCTAACAGTGGTCTTGTGAAGCCCCAGTACAATTTGGGACTCTACTGCATTGTATCATTTTAAATTTATTTTCTGGATTCTTCATACACCCACTAGTAATTTCCAACATTATGGTTATATTGAATTTTGGCTTTTCTACCTTAATTTTATGTTCAACTTTATCCTTATCCTCCATCAAAGGTTTTATGTTCTTGCCAAACCAGGGACCTGAAGGAACCTGCTTGCTGAATGGGGAAGACAAAAGTTCTATGCAGAACTTTACAGGAGTCCTCTTTCATTTTATGATATCTAATTCCGCCCCTCCCAGTTACCCACATAGCAGTTCATGGAGATGTAGCAAAATCTAATGGAGACCCTTTCTATCTTTATTTACATATTTCCAGTCTCGCATTAAGCTGCCCAAGCCTGTGTTGAACTTGACATGCAGGATACTTAGGATGCCCTTTGGCTGAGGTGTATGCCTTAGTCCCACTGCCCATCCCAGTGAAGGCAGCTTGGTTCAATGGACTCAGAGAAACATGCCAAACCCGCTTGAAATGGTTCTTCTGTTTTGTTACCTGTTGACTCCATAGGCAGGTGGTTAGCAAAAGCCATGTCCACAATAATATAGAGCCTCACAGACTTAACACCTTGAAGGGAGCCAACCGTATGGAATAGCCGCTCCTCTGAGCAGAGTCCTTCCTGCCCCAGCTCTGCACCACCTTCCTCCCCGGACAGCCTGGTCTCTGTCGAGGTTTCTCTCCGAGGCCTGGGAAGTAAAAAGGGTCATGCCCTGCACCCGCCTCGCCCCTGGAAGAACGCTTCTAACATCTCGCTTATGTGGTGACGTTTAGCTCGCCGCCTGCAGCTCAGCCCGTGGGAGAGCAGCGTGGTTAACAGACTGCTGACGCCCACACACGCGTTCCTGGCCAGGAGTAAAAGCGCAGCTGCCTTGTCTGGAGATGCAGGTAAAACTGTCAAGGTGCACCTTCCTCAGTGAGGTAAAGTCCTCCTTTCAAAGCCCTCTCTGAGCCGCCCCATTTGCATCTGATCACATCTCAGTTCTTCCCATTGCGTGCTTCTCCTCCTGGTGGGATGGCGGGGGAAATATGTCTGCTGGCGTTGGTTTCATGCCCCTGGCATTGTTCCTCTGCGCTTCCATCTTAGCATCTTATCTGGACACCAGATGCCAGGCAGACAAAGGATGTCCCTCCCTGTGATCTGGTGGCTCCAGAGGCTTCTGTCAGTTCCTAACTGTTACTAGAAAATCCTATCCCTTTCCCTTCCTTTCTGCCTTCGCATCTGAGCAGATGATCAAAGGTAGAAATAATTTAAGATTGAATACTACTTTGTGGGCTTGGGGATAATATCAAAGCACAAGCCTGTTTAAGCATAGTGTTTCATAAATGTGGCCATGGGCTAGCCACTTATCCTCCCTGGGCCAGGCTTTTATATGTAATCGAGGAATAGTACCCTTTCAAAACGCTAAGAGTTGTGGAGAAGGCTAATTACAGTGTTCTTAGTTGTAACATTACTTTGAAAATATGTAAAATGTGCCAAGTACTAGTTATTATAATTAGTTATAACTCCTCTACTTTTTTAAAATGTAAAACATGCCTGAATGAGCCAATTAGTTTAATGAGAAGTTCGTATAGTCTACACCTAGCTGGAAAGAAACATACTTACTAGGCATTTGGCAGTGTCTCCTCACAGTGAGTTGACTTAGGTTTTCCCAAATATCCATGTGACCAGCCCTCATCTTTGGTATGTAGGAAACTGCATTGCCTCCTCATAAAGCTCCCTTTAAAAAGGCTTTGCCTTTGCAAGCCTCTTCATGTTCACTACCCTCTTTTTTTTTTTTTAAATAATAACTCTTGGTAGTTTTATGATGTCTTTCATCTATAGTGCCCAGGGAGCTAGTGTCAACTTGACTTCTCACAGTACCCCTGGGAGGCAGTCAAGAAAGCAAGTACAGGCATTCCCACCACCTTCCTGTGGAAAGCAAGAGCTTGACAATAAGTGACTTGCACCAGAGCTGCTGAGGTGGACTAGATCTTAGATGTGCTTCTACCCTTGGCACGCTTGTGATGCTGTGTGTACCATCATGCACTCAACTAGCTGGACCACAGCGATCTGTGCTTTCTGTAAAGCAACTCTTCTGTCAGCTGTCACATTGCATCTGAGATTTTTCTGGAGGAAAAAGTACAAGATAATTTACTTTTATGCCCATTTTGTTGTACTTACATACAAGTCATGAAAGCTTTTCTTTATGTCCAGCTAATTGAAGAACCTTTGAAACTGCTTTTCAGTCATGTTTCATAGGCTCCAAATAGTCTGTCTCTTGTGCTTCTGAACCTCCACTGTGTGTTGCTTCATACTAAAGGACTGCCTCACAGCTAAAAAAAAAAAAAAAAAAACTGTCTTCCTTTGCTATTTCTGTCATCACTAACTTTTGTCAATTCTTTCACTGTTCCTCTAGTCTCTTCCAACACCATTTCCTCATTTTCCACCCATTTGACTTGCCCATCTTTCCACCTTCCGACATCGTTATGCTCAATCAAGGTGCTTTTTAATCTGCTAACTGGCTCTTGTTTACAACTTTTACATCCTCCTTTTCACAAACTGATACATTTTTGTCATTTATTTTAATGTGAAGCAATGCCATACATAGCCTTTACTTGTTTGTTTTATTAATACATTCCTTAGATCATTGTTACCTATTATTGCATTGATACAGCTTATATTTAATGAACCCAAACTGGTGTTTAAAATTTTCAGTTTGAAATTATTTGTTTTAATGTCTCTCACATTTATCTTGTCAAAAACACTTTTCCCATCAACTTTTATTTTTCCAACTCCTCTCCTTGATTTTTTTTTCTTGTCTTCCTATTTTTAATGTCATTCCTTCAGTTCACCTTATATCCAATTGCCATTGGCAAGAGGATGACCTACATCTAGAGCCAGGGTTATAATAGCAGATCAAAACAGCCACCCTCACCCCTAGGGTGTCCGGTGATTGTAAATTCCCAGAACAAGTAATAAGAGCAGTTGAAAATTGGAAAGCAGTCTCATATGTTTCATTTGTGACCACTGCTTTGGGTTGATTTTTCCTTGCCCATTTTTTAAAAATACATTTAAGATACATGTGATTATTGGAGCTCAGGATTAAGTGAATTAACATAAGCAAAAAGAAGCTTAGGATAGGACCTGCACATAGTAAGCACTTCATAAATGTTGTTATTCTACTATAATGTTCTGCCATTCTCTCTGCTGCATATCAACCATGTGAACTACTTTATCTTTTCTCTGCAGCCATTATTTCAAATAGAAAATACCAAGTGAGTTAAATTAATGCATACTTGCTACCAAGAGTAGAAAGAAATACAGATATTGTGAAAGACTTGCTCAAAGACATTTCCATAAAAGAAACTTTATATTTAATAAGACTACTTTGGAATATGGAGGGCCCTCTATGGAGAAAAAAACAAATATCGCTCTTCTTTTTCCTTCAGAAAGGCAAGATCATTAGAACTATTGATTTAAAGGTTTCAGGTTTTTAAGTAGTTGCTGTTAAGAACAGCAATGAATTCCATGAAATGTAGTCTCCTTAGAATTAACCAGACAGTATTTCTTGAACAATTAAATTCGAGGATTTTCGTATAGACTACATCAGGTAGGTTTCTTCCTTTCGTTCATATTCACTCAGCACTGTAATAAAGAATGAACCAAAGACATGATGAGATCAGTTTACAGCCATGATGGTCTCAGGAAATGTTGCATAGATACCCCCTGAAATCATTACTTTCCACTAGAGGAAAAAGAAATCATACTTCTGGGCTTCATTCCATTTTCAGTGTCAGACCCACGGCCTCAGAGAAAGGCTGTCATCTAGGGTTTCTTGCTCGTTGAGCACTTAATGACCTCTGGCTGGGGCCTGGGCTGTGTGTGCCTCTTGCTCATTAATCCAACACAAGTGTCTTGTGCTAGGATGTTCATCTTTAAAGGCATTGGATTGGATTGGAAGGGGTTTGCATTAGTGAACTCTTTCCTTGTCTGGGAAGGACAAGTGCTTTGTTGTGGCACTTAAGAAAAGGATAAGTTTTCAAATCGTTTTGCCTGTGATCACAGGAAGCCAAATGACAAGAGGGTCTCCTTCACAACATAAAGGAAACTTCCTTCACCATTAAGGTCTGAAGCAGAGCTTTATGTCAGTTTGCAAGTAAGACATATATCTTTTGAGGAGAACTGAGGGAATGCAAAGTATTTCAACTTATCCAAGAAATAAGAGTTCTGTTTTCAGATGATGGGACAAGAATGCTGTTTCCAGACGATTCACTGCTTTGACCATTCAGTGATAACCACAAGATACTGCAAGGCATTTAATGAAAGAGAACACAAGGGTGAAGATGCAATCTGATGGACTTTCTGTCTGTAGAGTAAACCAAAATAACATATTTTTAACCATAATTCTGAAATTAAGATTACTTTGAATCTGTCTTATGAACTTCTGAGTTTTGAATTTATTAACTTAATACTATTATATTCAGTTGATGTAATAGTTTCTTTAAAGAGTTGCTACAATGGCGAGAGTTGGGTAAAATCATAACATGGTCCAGACACATAGTATTCCTTTCAGTAGTCATGTCTGTCTTATTTTCCTAGAAAACGAGATTTCTGGATGAAATATGAAAATGAACCTTGGATCATTAGTACCCATATGTCTGATACCTATGCATGTTCTGTGAATTTCTTGAACCCCATTGTTACTCAGAATCAACCACTTGATTAATGACAATGTTCCTTTGAAAGTAAGGTCAGAAAGTATGTGGTTTTCACAAAACAAAAATCTCATCTTAAGTAAAACTATAAGTTATTCAGGATTATAACAGCTGTTCACAATTCAACTTTATTTTTGGCAATTCTAACATATTCATGTTCTCTTCACTGTTTTAAATGATGACATCCCATTTCCCTATACGTTCCTCTGCTTGTTATGAACCATCCAATGCCTTGGCTTTTGGGAAAAAACCCAAAAGCATGCATTTGATTTGCCTTTAAGTAGATAAAACATTTACAGAATTTTTTTTTCTGGAAATTATTAGTTATTCATGTAGCAAGTCTTAACACCTCATGAGACTTGGTCATTTAACATTTTAAAAATTCAGTTGCTTTTTTTCCCCCACTGGCTGCTGAATTTTAATCCCAAAATAGCTGCAATATATCTTGCTTGCCTGCTTGCTCAGTTGCTGTCTTTCCACCTTTTGTTCCATCTGAAAGCTAATTAGGAAAAATCTGATTTTAAACAATCCTTATCTTAAAATTATCTGTCACTAATATAGCATTTTACCAGAACCATCTGTTTATAGGAATATAAGGCCATTGCTTTCTGTATGGCTGACGTCTGTCTCTTTGATTAAAGTATTTAAATAGCCAAATAGTTGATATATTCCTGATTTTTCACTTGGACGTGCCCTCCTTTTGGACATAGGACCGTGAGGAGAATTGAGCGTGATGGTTCTGGAGGCCTTTAGGTAATAACACTTCTCCCTACTTTTCTCTCTATCTCTGCTTTGCTCCTTCTCCTGATCCTGCTTTTGGCTTTCCTTCACCTGCTCCTCTGGCACTCTTTGTGTAAAACAATCACCTGCACCCTAGTTATCCCCATTTGTCCTCGTTCAGCATCTTGCAGCCCCATCAACATCACGCCCTACAGAGCCGCACACTCTAGAAACCCACTGGAGCGACCAAAATTCTTTGTAACACCACCCGAGGGCTCCGCGAGAAGGAGGACTGCTCACGGTGCAGCGGTGAGTAGCTCTTGGGAAGCAAGCCTGGTGAGTCCGTGCTGTCCTCGGGCAGACCGGTCACCGCCCCGAGGGGCAGCGCGGATGTCAGAGCCGGCCATGCCGACTCCATCATCACGTCCACCCCGCCAGTCTTGAGTCTGCCTGGCTGAGTCATCCTGCCCCTACACTTCGTTCCCACTTGGGGATTCTACTCCCACAGAAAATCTAAAGTTGAAGGTGAAAACCGCTCTTTGTTCAAGCATGTCTGAGTGGCTGGACTGCCTCTGAGTCCTTCCAAACAAATCAGTGCAATACCAGCATACTTTATGTGTGAAAGTAAGAAAAGCTTTGAAGGAGAAGTGGGTCTGGACTGCTGCCTTTGCATTTTATTCCAACCATATCCAGAAGCTGGCTGCAGTCTAAATGCGGTTCACTAAAATGCAAGATAAAGACTTTTTGTCTGTTTAGCTAATCCGTGTCAAGGCCCAGATCTTAAAATATAGTGACAAAGTATTTTGAAAACACTAATTACCTGCTAAGTAATTCTTGAAAGGCTGTTGGGCTCTGTTTACAGAGTCACATTTTGCAAGTGAAGAATATAATTTGTACTTGTTGTTCCTGGCAGGGTGGCTGGACTAACCTCAATTTTCACCATGGTGTAAATGCAATGAGGTCATTTGTATATCTCCAGGAATATTTCTTTTTCTTTAAGCCGTGTATTATTTGGCACTTGTTGAAAGATGTAGACATTTGTATTTTAGTGTTAAAGGACCCCCCAGTACCAGGAGATCTCATTGCCCCTCGCTCATGGTAGTAGAATGACCCATGAAGGGCTGGAACAATGCTTTTTTCAATCTTAACTTCCCAGAGCAGTTCAAATGTATAAAGGTGATGGATACTTAAAAGGATTTTGCTTAGACCTTTGAGGATAATTCAAGAGTTGTGAGAGGTTGATGGCTTTGCCTATAGGCAGTTTTCTTTCATGCCCCTCAAGCTTTCAGGAATCGACATTTAATTCATGATTGAGTCAAACCTCCAGCCCTTGAAGCCAGAAGTGAAACTACCTTTGAAGTCTGGGAAGTTTACCATCATTAGCATGTTGGTGCTTCAGAAAGCCTAGCTGTGGCTAAATAGCAATAGTCAAGCAGAACAGCTTTGGCCCTGAACACGGGATACTTACTGGGTAGGGAAAAGTGTTTACCAAAGGAAAAATATCTTTTTAGAGATTAAAAGGAAAATGAACACACCAGGACGAAAGTGTGAGAGCCAATCCTCCAACAGATTAAATGAGAGGGATTTGTCATCACTTGATCCACAGCCTGTGTTTTCTCACCGGTTTTCTTTTGTCTTTTCCGTGCCTCTTTCTTTCTGTATTTGATCTATCGGCTACCTTTTCATTTCTTTACAATTAAATATTTAGGCAAATACTTACTGTCAGGAAACAACTCACATAATTTATATTCCAGAGCTGCACTGCAGAAGTCAACCAAGCACTTGAAAATGTGACTAATGAGACTGACAGATCAAATTTGAAATTTATCTTTTAAACAATTTTTAATTGTGACAAAAAACAAAATTTACCTTCTCAGCTGTTTTTAAGTGCACAGTTCAAAAGTGTTAAGTGTATTTACCTCATTATGCAACCAATCTCCAGAACTTTTTAAATCTTGCAAAACTGAAACTGTACCCACCAAGCAGTAACTTGCGATTCCCTTAGCCCTCAGCTTCTGGCGGGCACCGTTTTACTTTCTGCTCCTATGAATTTGATTGCCCCAGATACCTCACATGAATGAAACCATACTGCATTTGTCTTTTGTGACTGACTGCTTGCACTTAGCACTTAAGTCTGTCCTTCCATATTGTAGCATGTGACAGGATTTCCATTCTTTTTAAGACTAGTAACACTCCATTGTGTATGTGCATGCACACACATATGTATTGACACACCACATTTTGTTAATCTGTTCACCTGTTGATGGACATTTCAGTTGCTTCTTCCTTTTGGATATTGTGAACAGCATGGCTATGAACATGTGTATACAGATATCTCTTTGAGATCCTGCCTTCGGTTCTTTTGAATATGTACCTGATTGTTGGATATTATGGTAATTCTATTTTTACTTTTTTAAGTAACTGCTATACTGTTTTTCATAGTGACAGTACCATTTATTTACATTCTAACCAACAAGGTACAAGATCTTCCACTTTTTCACATCATCAGCAATATTTGTTTTGCTTTTTAAATAGTAGCCTAAGGAGTGTGAGATGATCTCATTATGGTTTCGATTTGCATTTCTCTAATAGTCAGTGATATTGAGCATCTTTCTATATGCTTGTTGGCCATCTGTATATCGTCTTTGGAGAAAACTCCAATCAAGTCCCTTGCCCATATTTTTAATCTTAATTTTTAGTTTTTTAATCTTTTTAATTTTTATTGGAGTTTTTATATATTATGGATATTCCTTATCAGATATATGATTTGCAAATATTTTCTCTCATTCTTTAAGGTCGCCTTCTTACTCTGTTGATTGTATCCTTTCATGCAGGTTTTAAGTTTGTAGTCCCATTTTTTAATTTTTTTTTTGTTGTTGCATGTGCTTTTGGTGTCATATCTAAGAAATTATTACCAAATCCAATATTAGGACTCTCCCCACTTTTTTTTTTCTGGGAATTTTATAGTTTGAAGTCTTAGCATTTAGGTTTTCTAAGCATTTTAAGTTTAAGGTATGTGGTGTAAGGTAAGGTTTCAACTACATTGTTTTGCATGTTGATATGTATGTTTTCCCAGCACCGTTTGCTGAATAGACTATCTTTTCCCCATTACATGGTCTTGGCACCTTTGTCAAGGCTTCTTTGACCATATACTCAAGGGTTTATTTTTGGTGGTCTATTCTGTCCCATTGGTCTGTAAGTCTGTTTTTATGCCAGTACCATATTGTTTTGATTACCATTGCTTTGTAATATGTTCTAAAACCAGAAAGTGTGACTTCCAATTTTGTTCTTTTTTTGACTGTTTTGTCTATTCAGGGTCCCTTGAGATTCTACATGAATTTAGGATAGAGTTTTCTATTCCTGCCCCCCCCCAAAAAATGATGTGGCCTTTTGATAGTGTATTGATTCTATAGATTGCTTTGGGTAGTAGTGATATACTAGCAATAACAAATCTTCCAGCCTATGAACATAAGAGGTTTTCCCATTTATGTTGCATCTTCTTTAATTTCTTTCAGCAGTTCCTTCTAGTTTTTACCATAGACATCTTCCATGTCCTAGGTTCAGTTTATTCCTACATATTCTTTTTTTGATGCTGTTGTAAATGGTATTGTTTTGCTAATTTTCTTTTAAATTTTATTTGGTTTATCTAAATTCAACTGACTGCTCTTGAGCACTTGAAATACATTTGTGAGACTGAAGTTAACATTAAATTTTAATTAATTTAGGTCCAAATTCAAATAGCCAAATGTGGCTAGTGGCTACCATTTTATTCAGTGTAGATGCAGAATATTACTATCATCCCAATTCTTTTGTACAGTGCTACCTTGGAATATCTGCTTATATTGTCTCTCTCGTAGGTTATTTGTATTCTAAACCTAACTCTAACTGTAAAATTAAAGTCTTTGTCCTGCTGGTAAATTGTCCAGACCATTGACATGGGCAGCTTGCTGTGTGTGTTTCCACCTTAGTCTTGTGGAAAGTGTTAACAGGAAAGATTATTATACAAACCACTGGCTATTAACTCAGATCAGGATAAGAATTAGGAGCACCTTCACATGTTTGGAACTCAAATAAGTGATTGAGTCTAAGACCAACAGAAAGACATTTGGAAGACATTTGTGACTTTAACCACGTTAAAATGTTTTGAGAAAGAGAAAAGCAATTCAACTACTTAACCCCAACCTCCCTTGGGAAGGGAAGCATAATTGCCACCCTATACACTTGCAAAGAGGGCTCCATATGGTGGCTACTGCTTCAGCTCCCCAAGGAATGCAGCTGTTCTCCGAGACTCTGCCTCCTGCCTTCTGGTACCAGAGATGGGGACAGAAGGCAGTCATGCAGCTGCAAGTGATACAGAGGGGGCACATGCCCTGTGAAGCTCTTTCCTGCCCCATCCTTCATTTGTTTTATTTAAAATTCTGGGGAAATGTTGAGTATTATTTGACAGTGAGCTGTTTTCCCCCACCTATAGTCCAGGCCATCAGTTAGGATGCTACTAAGGAAAAGAGAAGCAGTTAGAAGAAATACTGAAGGGAACAAGTTGGGGGGCAGGGGGGCGGTGGTGGGGGCATGGAGAAGGTAGGTGATGCTTAAGCCAGGCAGGAAGGAGAGAAAAGAATGTACCCTGAAGCTAGATGATGTTCTGTCTCTTCCCTAACACCCTCAGTCTGAGTTCCTGCAAGGATCCCACTGAGTGAAGGACTGCTAGACATCCACACAGGTGTCTCCAGCAAGCATGCATTGCCCTCGCAGAACACTGTCAGCCCTGTTTCAGACACTTGGAATGAGTCTCTCTTGCTGTGTTCCTTGTTTGTTTTTTGTCTTGGCTGACTTTATCAGAACACTTCTGGGTTTCCTTTTGCCCATTTCAGCCTAGGAAAGGTGTCATTTCTCTGGCTAATTCTTAGTGTTCAGTCAGAGGAGGACTCATATTTCAGCCCACTGTCAGATTCCCATTTCATCCCTAACGAAGAAGGCCAAAAATAGCTAAATTTCCTCACCTTGAGTCTGACTTTTCCTTCAAGGGCAAGAGGGCACTAGGTAAGGATGGACTTGTTTGTATAACATTAATATAAAGAAAAAAATTAATATCTGATGTAGCAGACATGTAAATTAAAAAAAAAGAAAGACTGAGCAGTGGTGTGTTCCAAGGTGAAAAAAAGAAAAATGCTAAAGAATTAAAAGAGACAAAGGTGTAGGGAGGATAAGTTGGAAGTGACCTTTATTTTGACATTTGTGTGGGCTAAACCATACTATGAGAGATTTTGGTCCAGGCAGTTTTAGATGGAAAGCATAGGTGCTTTCTAAAAGTGTGTTTTTGCTTTGTTTTTTACAAATACATATCCAGATCACACTCCCAGAACCTTCTTATTAGTGTCAGATTGTGTTGATTCAATTATAAGGTTCAGTTTTAACCTAATAAAGGCCTTTTGTTGGGGCGGAATGGATATACATGGCAAAGGCTGGAAATTTTCCAAGTCATTCAGTGGATTACAGCTTCACTGTTGAATACTATGAATGTGATTGTTCCGCTTGTGGAAAAATCTAATTATTGTGTTTCTCTGAACTTAGGGCTATAAAAGAGAGAGGGAGAGAGAGAATGTACCCTTCCACCTCACATCCGGCAGCCAAAGGTCTCTGTCTCCATCTCATCCCAAAGCCAGATCATCAGCTTCCTCCCGACTTTGGTAAGTGAAATATAAGAGCCTGGCAGTGTTGTTCCATGTTGGATAACTAGTAGTGTCTGTCCTCTGAAAAGAAACTGTTCTCCCCACACTGTTTAGCCTTCTCTTAGGGAGTAACATTTTTCCTCAGAGGAAAGAAAAAAGAAACCTGGAATGAGCCTCTAAAGCAAATACTCCTGTGTTCGCCATGTAAGAGACATGTTCACACAGCTAAATACCTTCATTTCTCTTGGTGTTGGTATTCCAAGACTATTACATGGTAGAGATGTGGAGAAAGGTGGGTTCTGGCGAGCCTGTTCTCACGTTCCCTCTTCTCTTGGTCTGTTGCCCAGGCTCCCATCCAAGTCCTTTCCCCATCTGCCCGGCACCCCCAGACCAGCACCCTCCACGCCTCCTGGACCAGTCAAAGCTGCCCCTGCTCAGGTCCGGCCCCCCTCCCCCGGCAACATCCGCCCTGTCAAGAGAGAAGTCAGAGTGGAACCTGAGAGAAAAGACCCTGAGAAGGAGCCTCCGAAAGTTTCCAGTGAGCCCTCCCTTAAGGGCAGAACACCTTTGGTGAAGGTAGAAGAGGCCACAGTTGAAGAGGCAACAGCAGTCGAAGCAGAGGCTGCCCCCGGTAGGAAGCCACTGACCGGCGGGGCCCTGGCGGCTGCTTGCACCCTTCTGTTTCCTGCACTGCTTTTCCTTGGCCCGTCCTCCTTCCTCTCTTCCTTTCTTCCTTCCCTCCCTTCTTTGCTCCCTTTTTGGGCACTTCGAAATTTTACCCTGAGACTAATTTGGGGACCTTTCCTTAAGTATAATTTTCTTACATATAAAGAAGGAATCATCCATCCAACAGCCTATTGTTAGAGCCACAGCATATTTGTTTCATGTATGGTTTAGGATTCCTTTCATTGGCTGAGTCCAATAATTTGACAAAATGTGGTATTCAGAGCACCTGCATCAGAATCATTTATCTATTGCTGTGTAACAAATTATCCCAAAGCTTTGTAGTTTATAACAACTGACAGTTACTGTATCACGCAGGGTCTTGGGAGAGGAATTTGAGAGCAGCTTGGCTGAGTTGTTAGAGGATGACTCACACACAGGGCTGTCGGCAAGTGGCCGTCCTTTCCTGACAAATGGACCTCGCCATAGGGTTATCTGATGGCCACACAATCTGTCTGCTTGCTCTGTTGGTTTTCCCCAGATGAATGACCTGGGGGAAACACAAGCCCACAGTATCTTTCATGCCTAATCTCAGAAATCTCACATACACAGAAGTCACGATTTCCGTCACACAGTTCATTAGAAGCAGGTCACTAGCTTCAACGCACACTCAACTGGAGGGGATTAGTCTCTACCTTTTAGAAGGAGTATTTTCAAAAAAAATTATGGAAATATTTTTCAACCACATCTATAATGTTTCATACTATAGAACCCTGCCCCTACCTCAGAGCAGTTGAATCAGGATATGTTGTGGATCCATGGACTCTGATACTAAGCGCGTCTGACTCCTGTGCAGGATTGCCAGATAAAACAGTGGCAGTTATCCTGTGTGGGGGCTTCCCTGGTAGCTCAGACAGTAAAGAATCTGCCTGCAATATGGGAGACCCAGGTTCGATCCCTGGGTCAGAAAGATCCCCTAGAGAAGGGAATGACTACCCACTCCAGTATTCTTGCCTGGAGAACCTCATGGACAGAGGAGCTTTGTGGACTATAGTCCATGGGGTTGCAAAGAGTCAGACATGACTGAGCAACTAACACTTCACTTATACTTCACATCCTACATGTACTGTAGTTTGAGAACCACTGGCTTATTAGCCTGTGTGACTGACAGAGGTCAGAACTTTTTCCAGAAGACCCAGTGGATCTCATCTCTACCAGACTAACCAGATGCTGTCTAGAAGTTTAAAAATCACCTGGAACTAGAAATTCAGTACATCTTGTTGAAAACTGTCTTCATCCAAAAGTTTTCTCTTTGAAACTTAATTTGAAGATAGAGGGTGAGGGCAGAGAAAGAATAGATGACTCAAGACAAATGATAATGTTGTTAAGGGAATGGGAGAGTCCAGTATCTGTTTACGTGTAAAGTGGGAGAAGAGATAGGCCAAAAAAATGTCCTGAGGGCAAAGAAAAAACTTGTGGGAGCAGGAGAAATGTAAGTCTTGAAAGGAGGGTCTGGAGTGGTCAGGTGCATCTCACCATGGTGCCTGGGGTTGGGGGTTTGGAGGGTTCCCTGTGGCACAAGCCCTCTAAGTCCTTTCTCTGAATCCAGGCAAGGTCAGAGAACTGCTCTAGTCTTGCATGTTCGCATCAGGATTGGCAGTGAAGACCTGCTGTGTCTTAAGGAGCACGGATGCTGGCTCATTCCTTCTAAGGCCTGGAGACAATGCCGGGTGGACCGAAGGGATCTCTTTTTTTTCCCATTTATTTTTATTAGTTGGAAGGGATCTCTTAACTCTCGTCTTCCCATCTTGAACCTGGGCTTGTAGTAGGGACACTGGCCATGGTCATAGAAAGGCTTTAGTCCTCTAATGATAAATAGTCACTTAAGAGAAGGAATTTTTTTTTTTTTTTGGTAACGTAATGAAAGGCAAATGGGAGCTCTCATCTTCCTTTTTTTGTTAGGGTTATAACTTCCTACAGAACCTAATGTGAGGCTCTATATTCAGTACACTTTTGATATGTGTTGTTAACTGATTTAACTGTGTAAAAATAAGACTCAGTGACAGTGTCAGCTTTGGATGTCTCACTCGCACATGAAGCTTTTTGCTACCTGTTGCCCGGTTACAGATAGAATACGGTGAAACCCTGAGAACGCTCCGTAATAAACATTCCCGTTTCTTTGATCATGATGAATTCTAGGCCTGGGGTCTGGGGGATGCTAGTTTTTGTTTTGTTCTTTGGCTTTTGTTTCCAATTGGCTTTCTCCTTGTACCTGTTTGTACAGCTGCTCCGGCGGCAGCCGCAGCCCCAGCTCTGGCCCCAGCCCCGACACCAGCCCCGCCGTCCACTCTGACTGCCAGTGCCTCTCCGAAAACCTCTGCGGGGACCACCGACCCAGAAGAGGCCACGAGGCTGCTGGCTGAGAAGAGGCGGCTGGCCCGAGAGCAGAGAGAGAAGGAGGAGAGAGAGAAGAGGGAGAAGGAAGAGCTCGAAAGGTAACCGAGGGACACTGCTCGGGACACCCTCGCGACACCTTGGATTAAGTCTTCAGTCAGAAGTGGTAGTAGTGTTGAAGGTGAATCTAAATAAGTTGTTACAGAATTACTCTCACCTGCTGTTCCTCTGATGACTAAGCAACTTTTTGAGTCACATTTTCTTTTTACAATGACAGTACAACAAAATTGATGGAGAAAGGTTTGAAGAAAAAAATCATGCATCATCCGACCAGATTTCAAAAAGTGTGTACATTTTGATTCACCCTTTCCAGTCTCTGAACAGCGTGTGGGTGTATACACATGCCTATATAGACACACATATTTTCATGATTGTAACCACCGTAGAGGTACAGTTGTACAGTCTGAGGTTTTCTTTTAATCTAACATCTCGCTCATCTCCATGTTTCCTCATTATCTTATTATTTTAAAGCTGTGTAATAAAAGTTCATGTTTTCTTCTTTCCAGATAGAATTCCTCTCATAGGGTAGCTGCTGGGAGATAAAATGCCCCATGACTGCCTGTCAGACAGTACGCCAGGGGCACTTTGCTTAGTTGGCCTCCTTCTGGAGTGAATAAGGCTAATGTTAACGTCAGGCGAGTTTATGCTCCTCGGTTCTTCTCTCGTCACACCAAAGATTTGGAGTGACGGACATTAAAGCCCTTGGCATGTCACAGCTCTCAGGTCTTGGACAGACCATGTTATAGTTCTCAGGTCTTGAACACACTGAGTTATAGCTCTTAGACAAATCAGTGTTACAGCTCTATTTAGATAAAGCAGGAAAATCCATCTTTGAGGCATGAGGGCATGTCGACCCAAAGACACGAAGAGAAGAGCATCGCAGCTCCGGGAGGGATGGGGGGGGAGAGAGAGAGCCCCCGGATCTTCCTTTGTTCTATTTTCGCAGGCTTTTCCCTTCCTTGTCTTTTAGCCCTCGCCATTTTGGACTCCTGTTTTCTAACTACCTAACATTAATGTAATTGTTCTTCAAATAAGCAGAACTGCTTCTCAGGAAAGTATGCTGGGCCACCATCTTGGACATGCCCTACCCTTGGTCCCAAAAGGGAGCTTACATGGTCCATCTTACCCCTTCCTGCCGCAGAACGTTACAGCTTTTATTTATTTATGGAGACTGGGAGGGGACTGTTAAATTCTTTACTAAAAAGTTAACATTATTGGATTAAACAAGTCTGAGCCTCTAAAGATAGTTACATTGCAGATCCTTAAAAACACAAGCTGCCCTCAGAATATGAGTGGTTACATTTTGCTTGGACTTCCCAGGAGGCAATAAGAGGTGGAGGAGAGTGACTGGCCTCACATGTATCCAAGTGGAGACTGTGGGAGACCTCCCAACAAACCGTCCTTGAGATAACCACACGCTCCAGCCTCGCCAAGGAACTCCCCTCACGTTTCTTTGTCTTGGCTGGTCTTTTTTCCAGACAAAAGCGAGAAGAACTGGCCCAGAAGGTAGCTGAAGAGAGGAGCCGCCGAGAGGAGGAGGCCCGCCAGCTGGAAGCTGAGCTAGCCCGGGAGCGGGAAGAGCAGCTGCGGCGGCAGGAGGAGGAGCGGGCCCGGCGCGAGCGGGAGGAGATGGAGCGCATCCGCAAACAGGTATTGGGGTCCGGCCCGGGCCGGGCAGCGGGTCGGCGGCGCAGCCCTGGCTCAGGACCGCGCGAGGGGCAGCGCAGAGGAGCAGAGGAAGGTGCCCAGCCTGTGGTGAGGACCGCCCTGAGCCTCCTGCGCGCCATCCTAGTCCTTGCATCCTGTGCCCCGGCATTTCGGGGCAGCGGGCAAAGCCAGCTTCTCCCTACGAAGCCGACGCCGACTTCTCATTTTCAGAAGGAAGAAGAAGCTCGTGTTCGGGAAGAAGCAGAGAGGGCCCGGCAGGAGCGGGAGAAGCATTTCCAGAGAGAAGAGCAAGAGCGCCTGGAGAGGAAGAAGGTATTTGGGACACTCAATGTGTCTTGCCCATTCTAGGTTCTCTAAAATAGCTCTCAGTATTAATACTCTCCTCCAAAGAAATCGGTCTTGGTGTTTCAGTCCTCACCAAAAAGAGTCACTTCCTTCCTGTGGCCTGAGCCAGTTCCAACGCTTTTGTGTGTGCACTGTACGAAGTTGTTGGGTCCGACTCTTTGCGACCCTAAGGACCAAAAACCTCCAAGCTCCTCTGCCCACAGGATTCTCCAGGCTGGAGTGGGTACCATTTCCTCCTCCAGGGGATCTTCCCAAATCAGGGACTGAACCTGTGTCTCTTATGTCTCCTGCATTGGCAGGCAGGTTCTTTACTATTAACTTAATAACTCCAGTTAAGACAAAGACAGTGTTTTCCCAAAATAGTAGACATGTTTCAGTGCTCTGCATTTGCTTAGTCAGTGAAATGCACCAGGCTAGTTTTCTTCCTTTATCGGATCTGTTTGCTCAGTTCTTCCTTTTCTTGTAGCGACTTGAGGAGATTATGAAAAGAACCAGAAGAACAGAAGCTTCAGATAAGGTATTCAGATGGCCATTTTAAAAACTATTCTTAATGACTTTTTTTTAACTTGTAATTTTAACATTAAAAAGTCTTTTTTCTTGGCTAGAAAACTGTTGATCAGAGAAATGGAGATATAACCAAGGGAACTCCCTCTGGAGAAACAGGTATGTATTTCAGTGAACTCAATTCAAATGCAGAATTTTTGAATTGACTCTAGAGGTCAAGATAAGCATTGATTTAAAAATAAATGATTTTAAAAAGCATTGATTTAAAAATAAACTCACTCATTCACAGAAGCTTAGGTGTATCTAATCTACAAATAAATTCCCTTTACCTAAAAATCTCTAGCATTTCTAGCAGATTTTTTTTCCACATTTGGTTATACTCTAATGGAGTGTTTGATATCTTAAGTCATTTTACATCATATACTTCTTCGATATGTATATATTTTTGTGTCCATATCTGATATATATGCCTTTATAGGTAGTATAGTGGTGGATGGTTTAGTCGCTAAGTCACATGCAACTCTTGTGACCCCATGGCCTATAACCCACCAGGCTCCTCTGTCATGGGATTTTCCAGGCAAAAATACTGGAGTGGGTTGCCATTTCTTTCTCCAATATATACACACATTAAAATTAATTTTCTTTGAATATACAGTTAAATATCACTTGGAGGCCCGGACTTGATCCCTTGGTCAGAAAGATCCCCTAGAGAAGGAAATAGCAACCTACTCCAGTAGTCTCACCTGGAGAATTCCATGGACAGAGGAGCCTTGTGGGCTACAGCCCATGGGGTCACAAAGAGTCAGACACGATTATAGGACTAACACTGTCACCGTCTGCTAAAGGAACCTGTATTTATATTTACTATTAAGGACATTAAACTTTTTGTACTTACAGCAGTTCTCAGAAAAGGATTTAAATGTTATTTAAGTTCTGACTTCAGAAGACAGTTAAAATTTGAAAATTGTTGAAATTTCATTAGAAAATTGTTCATAAAAAAAAGAAAATTGTTTATATGCCATAGGCTTTGGCCAGAGATGATTAATTTCTTCATGATTTTAAATCAAATTTGATGTAAATAAAAATAAAACTTGATGATTTTATAGAAGGGTGGTTGGTCAATAGTACATTATTCAGTTTTCTTCTTTCATCATCTGCAATGTCAATATGAAGAGAAAGGACCATAGATACCTCAGTTTCTTTTGCTGTTTTTTTTTTTTTTAAGACAAATGAAATGATTTACATGAAAGAACATTCTCTATAAACTCTAGGGATTTTCAAATGTGAAATTTGGGGTTTAGGGATTTGGTTTTACTTCAGTAGAGGCTTTCCTAGGTCCTTTAGGTCATGATCATTTCTTAATGGTGTTTTCATGCTTTCTTTATTTTTAAATATTTGTTTGGCTGCACCAGGTCTTAGTTGTATTGGCAGGATCTTTAGTTGCAGTATTTGAATTCCCAGTTGCATCGTGTGAGATCTCATTCCCTGACCATAAATTGAACCCAGGCCCCCTGCCTTAGGAGCATGGAGTCTCCCAGTCACTGGACCACCAGGGAAGGCCCCATTCTTTTTTAAAGGTGCCCTAATTATATTTGTTTGGAAAACAGCCTTAATGGTTGCCTGTTAACCCCACTGTATTTTTAACAGGTTGTCTCCAGGAATGTTGTAATAGATGCAGGCTTGAAGCAGGTGTGGCACCCAGTGAGTGATCAGAATGCGCATTTTAGGGTGTAAATTGTACCAACTCAGGATTATTTGAGGAGCTGATGCTGTAGATTGTGCAGAGCCAAACAAACAGCTCCTAGTGTTTTGTTTTTTTTTCCCCCAATCTTTCTTCTTTCTGCTATTTTCCTATCAATTGTTTTGATATTGTTTTTACCTCACTTCTGGAACAAACAATGGTGAGAGGCAAAGTGAAACTTGTCAGTCATCATACCTGTGTTTATCATCACTAATAATCAGTTTGATTTAATACTGCTAGAAAGAGGCCTGAGGATTATCTAACACATGTTCCTCTCCTCCCAGTCTCTCATGTGGTTGAGGGCTAAATGGTAGGCTAGGCCAACAGGTGAATTTGCAGACCTATCAGAAGTCTTCTCAGAAGCTATGTTACCAACTTTGCAAATTTTGACAGCTTTTAAGTTATCAATCTCTTCTTTGCTTCAGTTACTAAGTTCTGTGTACATCTGGCAGTATTTTATTCAGTTTGTACTAGGTTGTGAAATAACACTTTGGAACTATTTCACTTATTCTCTGACATCAAGCTGAAACCATAAACTGCCACAAAGGTCCCTGAAACGATGACCTACATAAGTTTAATAAGACTTTATATAAACCTGGCCCAGATTTTAAAGTCACTTATCAATACTGTCGGCTTACGCTAGACTCCAGCAGGGAGCACTGAATGACTAGGTAGCATGGTTAGGTATAATTCCCTGGCCCTCCGTGTGTGAAATCCACACCATTCTTAAATGTGACTGGAACTAAACTGAGTTTTACCAAATAGGGTAAAACCACTTGTCACTGCTTAGGGTGTTTCATGATTATTTGCTCCAAAGCCTTCAGTAATCATTTGTTCAGCATCAGCTTGGCCAAGTCATACTACTGTCTTCATCAATTGCTATGATTTCAATATTACATATTTTGCCCAAAATCAATTGGGTGCAGGCAAAAATAATAGCAGCCCTAGTTTCCACCCTTACAATGTTCCATGCAGTATTCTAAGTACATTTACTTCTCACAGTCGCCTATGAGGTAGGCACTGTTATCCACGAGGAAACCAAGGCACAGCACATTTACGGCTTGCCCAAAGTCACACAGCTAGTAAGTGGCAGAGCCAGGACATAAATCTAAGCATTCTGGTTGCTGGGCTTTGGGTTTGATAGTCGAGTAGTAGTAACCCTTTATCCTATCATCTTTGCTATGTCCAGCAGTATCTACACTTCCAAATATGACAAACTCTCCAGGATCGGAGGAACTAGAGGCCAGCACCCATGTGGTTACCTCTCAACAATCAAAAATGACTGTGGACAGGTGAGTTAGACAACTGGGGCTTTTCTTAGCACGTTAGAGCAAAGCATGACAGTTTTTTCTAACCATCCCGCCCCCCCACCCTTGGCTCCGCCAAATCCCACCAGAATTTTCTGGGGTCAGACAGAATTTCAGAGTTTTAACATGCAGATTTATTATATTTAGGTTCATTATTTTGGTTAGAGGTAGTAATTTTGTAATCTGAGAAAAAGAAAATGTCTTTTCTTGAACTGCTAAATATGATGGTGAGGTTTTTGTGTGGCTATTTAATCAAATTATAGGGAATGATTTGTTACTTTCCTTTATATATCTTTGGCATGATCCTAGACAATCTTCATACACTTTGATGATATTAACAGCTGTATTTTTATTATATATAATATTATAGTGAATCACAGGTTTGTTCCTTAGTAAAAGTAATTTAGATGCCAGTATTTCTTGTGCCAGTAGTAGGACTTCCTACGAGGAAACAAATGGTCGCTAACAATAGTTAAGAAGTGTGGGTTGACAGAAGATTGCCTTTCTCTTCCCTTTCATTTATATTGACAGGATTTTAACAGCGCTCCCTCAAATATGAAAAAAATTCTGTCTCTAGTGCCAGCTTTAGATACCATAAGAGAATTGAAGCTCCTCAAATTAATTTTCCTTTAATTGATAGAACAATATGTCTTAAGATCTAAGATCTTTCTTTTTCCCAGTTATATTGAGATGTGATTGACATATAGCACTGTGTAAGTTTAAGGTATATGGCATAATAGTTGATATATATAAATTCTTAATCTAAAAACATACACCACATGTTTTATAGTATTGGCAGCAATGAAAAGACAAGTCATCCTAAGGTGTCATAGCGTATCTTTGTATATCTTTCTGGGACAGTAAACATTTTTTATTTTGCCCACTTACAATTCCAAAAAACCCCACAATTTTCTGAAGAGATACCTTAACAATAAGCTTTTTATTATGTTGAATAAATTTGCAAAATTATCTGATACATATTAAGTAATATTTCATTTTTAAATTAGTTTGATTTTCAAATAAAATATTCATTTCCAACTCCTATAAGAAGTACTGCAGAGAGTGCCCCATTATTATAACAAGGAATAACTTTTTTAAGCCACTGATAATTCTCTCCAGGGAATAAAATTAGCTTATATTTTAGCTGACTCTCTTCAGTGGTAAAATCACCAAGTGATCAATCATTGTATAAGAACCTGAAACATATCTTCAAAAGTCTTGCATCCAGCTTCAACCTCAAGTGTAAGCCAAAGAAGGGGAATTCAAAAGCTGGTTCTCATATCTTAGAGAGGATCCATAAACCCTAACCTCAGCAACTTGAGCTTCAGTTTTATAGTTTTTGCATATCACTGTGTCCTCTGAACATTTAATAATTGCTCATCCAAAGCATATGGTATGATTTTTCCTCTAGTTGTTAACAAGACTGGGTGGAGTGGTTGGGTAGTAGTGGAAGGGGAAAATGAAGTCAGCTGTTGAGTCAAACCTGGGGTTGGTGTTGCCATTATAACCTGTCAGCACACGCAGGCCTGGAAGGTGACAGGTTGACATCGTCACGGAACAAGGGCTTTGAAGATGTATTCTTCTTTTGCCAAAACTTCCACTTAAAAATCTCTGTGGGATGAGAACTGAAACTCTCCCTGCTTACAGAAAGCCCACTCGTATTGGGAAAGAATAGGATGGCAGGCATTTGGTGTGTGTGCATACATGCACATTCATGTAGACTGTGATGCCAAGCTTCCTCTCAGTTCCATGGTACAATAGCGGGAAAGCACCATGCTGTCATAGTCTGAATCTGTATAATAATTTTATGTTCTTTTCCACAGCACTCTTACAAATAATATTTTCACTGTACCCTGCAATGCCTTGTGATGCAATTAGGTCAGGCATATTTATTTTTCTCCTAAAAGAGGTTTAATAGTTAACAAAAAATGTACCGAAATATCCAAATCAGAAATGCTTTAGAATATGTTCCACGAAGTCAATATATCTCACTGACTGAGGAAAGTAAACTATATCCTCAATACAGGGGCAGAGAAGCAAAGATTCCTCAAAAAAAAAATGTGAGAGGAAGGGGGACAGTGGAAAGATTGGATTTATATTAGCTTCATTTTCACCATTTGGGAAGGAGATGGAAAAAAGACTAACTTGCTAAAGTTCAAGTTGCTGGCATTACTGATAGAGACCTGATTTTCTGATCTCTTCCATAGACCTGTCTATAGCTAAACATTCAGTTAATGATCAATGTATATTAAAAGTTAAAACATTCACAATTTTTGCCTCATTTTCCATTTGAAGACTAACTCTTGTCAAGCAGGGTCATTTTCTTATTAGCACTGAACAAATCATGAAGCTTACAAATATGTTTACTGCTGCAGTCAGGTAAAAATCAACAGTAAAATTAATCTAGCCTCCGTTCAATGCACAGGCATTGTTTTATCACATTGTAAAGCATAATAATGAACATATAACCTAAAAAGGGCCACTGATTTGGTTGTGCAGTGTGTAGAGGGATCAAAAAACCTAAAAGAAATTACAGTAAAAACTTAAGGATATCATGGCCAATTGAATGTATCTCAAAAATCCGAGATATTAAGCATGAATTGATAAGAATCGAGGTAGGGTCAGAGGAGCATTAAGGGGCAAAGATGAGAAGGTTGTTCTAGAACAATTAACCTATACAATTATGTTCATGTTTTAGGAAGCTGGAGATAGCCAGAAAGAATTTGAATAGCCAGGCAGTGTACAAAACAGCATTATGAGAAAAACACAGGACCAGAAATCATGTAGCCAGTCTGGAATGCAGACTGTCTCTCAGTACTTGTGCAACTTGTGCAAATTATTCCCCTCACCCCCAAGTTATAATCCCCTCATCCTTGAAGTTGAAGAAGGCAATGACACCCCACTCCAGTACTCCTGCCTGGAAAATCCCATGGATGGAGGAGCCTGGTAGGCTGCAGTCCATGGGGTCACTAAGAGTCGGACACAACTGAGCGACTTCACTTTCACTTTTCACTTTCATGCATTGGAGAAGGAAATGGCAACCCACTCCAGTGTTCTTGCCTGGAGAATCCCAGGGACGGGGGAGCCTGGTGGGCTGCCGTCTGTGGGGTTGCAGAGAGTCAGACACGACTGAAGTGACTTAGCAGCAGCATCCTTGAAGTAAAGATACTAATAAGGGCTATTTTTATCAGACAAAGGGATATAAAATGCCTGCAGTAGAAATTGTTAAATGTATGTAGAATTATTGATAATGATCTATTCTAATTGATAAATTGTTCCATTTGATTATTTTTTTAAAAATCTGTTTTTAAACTTAAAGTATAAATAGGTTGGAACTCACCATTTTCATTAAAAATGATATCATTCTGATTTATTATAAAAGTTTTGGGTTGTCCTAAAAATGTTTTCCAGTTTTCATACTAACTCCTTTAATTTTGATTTTTCCAACTCCCTAGTACTCCCAGTTTGGAAAAACAACCAAGTGAAAATGGAATATCAGTTCAGAATGAAAATTTTGAAGAAATTATAAACTTACCCATTGGATCTAAACCATCCAGACTAGATGTCACCAACAGTGAGAATCCAGATATTCCTTTGAATCCAATTTTGGCCTTTGACGATGAAGGGACACTCGGGCCCCTGCCTCAGGTAGACGGTGTTCAGACACAACAGACAGCAGGTAAGCTTGCCTCAAACTTCCTTCAGTAAATGTCAGAAGTAGGTGACAGTGAAGAGGGAAGGAGAAGGGAATGGCAACCCACCCCAGTATTCTTCCCTGAAGAATCCATGGACGGAGGAGCCTGGTGGGCTGTGGTCCGTGGAATCGCGAAGAGTCAGACACGACTGAATGACTAACACTTAAGAGGGAGTGAACCTTCTACTGTGTGACTTTGGCACGCTTTGTCCTTCAAGGGACCAGATATGCCTCATGGAAAAGACTGCATGGGTCATAGAAACTGAATATTGAGTCGTGTTGGGCAACTTCTAGGGCCCCTCCTTTCCTCCCACTCAGGGTAGAAACTCAGTCTGTAGCACCTGTGGGTATCTGTGCTCCCCTCACAGAGCAACATTCATTGCCCAGAGACACTGCTGGTCAGAACACGCTTCACAGTAAGACAAAAACTTAACCATAACTGAGTGGCCACTGAACCAAGTTCTGTCCACTGGAGACAAGGACAGTTCTAAAGATATTTGAAGACTGCCAACATGTGGCTCAGATGGTAAAGATTCCCCCTGCAATGCAGGAGACACGGATTCAGTCCCTGGGTCGGGAAGATCCCCTGGAGAAGGGAATGGCTACCCACTCCTGTTTTCTTGCCTGGAGAACCCCATGGACAGAGGAGCCTGGCAGGCTGCAGTCGATAGGGTTGCAAAAAGTTGGACACGGCTGAGCAACTAACACAGTCACTTTTTTCACTTCAAGCATGTTCTCCCGTGATTTCTCTCTTGTTTGGCACAGCAACCTGGGATAATACACTATTGTCCTTTTTACGTGTAATGAGATAACAATTTAGGGACCAGGACCAGTATAGGAGTATACTGAGCCCAGGGGCCTTCCATTCCTAGTTGAGTGACTGCAGCTGTTGACTCTCTCAGACCCTCTGGGACTTACACTTAAGCTGAAATCATTGTGCAAAAAGAACAACACCTTTACAGGACCCAGAGAAATAACAACATAAAAAATTGCCAGCTCAGTGCTCCTAGTGACTCAACAGCACAATCTCATCAGGCTCAAGAACAAATTAGATAATCCAGCTTCATCTCTTTTCAAACCTCTTCGAATTCTATCAACTTCTGTCTCTCCCAGCACCTCACTTTCACATATTGACCAGCATCTCTATACTGTCGTGAACAGTGCCAGGCAAATTCAGGATGTTTAGATGAGTCGATAAAGCATTACTTGTGGTCAAATTGTTTTGTATTAGATTACAACAAATATTTTTAGATATAAGTATATTAAATGTTAGATCTAACAAATATTTTCCAGTTTAAAACTGGTTGAAAAAGCCAAAGTTGAATTTTTATGCAAATGAAGCTAGTCTTTTTTTCCTCCTCTAACTTTGGGCCTGTAACTTTGCTTTAGTGATCTACTTTTTTAGATTGTGAAAGGAAGAAGGTCCACTGTAAATGAAAGCTATTAACACCTGACATTCTGTTAAATTAAGCCTTTGAGAACAATCTGATTACCTATGTGTTGATGGAAACACTCCTGGTACATCTTCCTACTTTGTCATGTCAGAGATTCACAGAGATGTAAGGAATGTTCAGATGACTTTCTGTTTCATTTGCCAGGTTTTAAATCACCGTTTGATTTAAAGGTGATTTAATGATTTACCTGTCATTTCATTTCCCACTCTTTTCTAGGAACATAGTCCAGCGTCTGCATTAGTAGGTGGTGTTAGGGGTTGTTTTTGTTCATGGCTACTTATCAACCATCATTTATTTCAGCTTCAACATATGACTGGAGCCTGAAGCATCAGGTACTGAGGATTGAAGACCAATGAATGTAAAGTTTCTAATCTCAAAGCAAAGTACAACTGACTTACACAGTTTGAAAAAGAAAATGATATATAGCCTAAGTTAAAGAAAGGACATGTGTTTTCCTATTAGTGGTAGAATTCACTTAGAAGACCAGGGATCCTTATAAAATTTCCTGTTCTTATGTAAGACAGTGTATAAAAAGCATGGTAAAGTTTTAGGAACATATTGATAAGATATTACTGTAGTATTTTCTAAGACTTTAGGTAAATGTCATATTAATCTGTTCTTTCTTGTCTCCTAATATAGAAGTTATATGAGCATTTCTTCTGAAGAACCAAAGCAGAAATTTAAAAAGAATTTCTACAGTTAATGGAATTCCTTCCATGCTACAAAGGAGCATCTTCCCTTCCTCCAGTTTTCTAAAGATTTCTTGACCATCATTTTGAAAAGATTTTATTAAAACTAGCTAAAGACAACAGACTGGAAAGCTTTTCTAATAATTTTCGCCAGTAGAGAAAAAAAAAAAATGCTCCTTGTTCTTCAGTACTTTAAAATGGCTTTTTCCAGTGTGCTCCTTCTTAGGAAATCAATATTTTTCTGCATTCTTTAAAAGATGAGACCATTTGGCTATCAAAAATGGGCTGAGTAGGCATGATTTTTCACATAGATATTTTGGTCTTTAAATGCTAACATGTAAAATTGACATAAATTTTTACCTTTTACAATACTTGAAAATATAAGTACCTCTTGGTTCCACAGGTAGAGTCAGTAGGAGAGGTGTTTAAATTAAGCCTGTTTGTTAAAATATTATTGCAAAGAGCTCTATTTGTAGAGGCAGATTACCAGGTTCCTGTAAATGCAACTTGTACATGGACATTCTGCAAACCCCGCTGTCCCATTCTTCTTGCATCTTTTTGCTAAAGCGTACTCGAGTTTTAAAATGTGAAAAAATTATTTTTTCTAGAGCAAGAAAATAATTTACTGTCCTCTTAAATAATGTATTTATAAAGTTTTTCAGAGAAACTAATCAAATAAATTAGAACAATGTGATAACATTGCAGATTTGATTTATGAGATGCATTCCTTATATTACCATGAGAGAATGTTGCTGATAATTCAGGGCTATTTCTGAAGTCTGTTTATTGCTGCTGTCCCCAGTGATGGTGGGACTTTTCTTTGCCTTACTGGATCTAAAATTATGTGCGAGGGAATAAAGATTTACTATTTCTTTAAATAAAAAAAAAAGAATTTGGTTTTGCTCGTTTAAGAGCAGTGAAAAAAATGATGGAATTGTTGACTGTGTTTGGCACCCAGGACACTGCAGGACACCTTCATGAAGGTCCTTGTTCTGTGTGACATCCATCAGCTTTCACCCTTCACTTCTGCTGCTGAGCTTGGCTATACAAACTTGCACTTTCATTTGATGATATAAATTCAATTTTATTTTATCACTTGAGAGACTGTTAGTAACTAAATACTGAAGGAGAGAAAACATTGAGGAAACACATGTTTTATTATGGAGTATTTTTAAAAACTGATAAACTTCTGCCACTAGAGTGTGTTTTTATTAAAAGAGGGGTTGGTTAATTAGATTGAATGAGGGGCTGTTCATTTATTGGACTTTCCTTAAAATCCCAACGTACCATCTTTAGTAACAGCTGTAATTTGTTAAAACATTAATTTGGGGGTTTTCCCTGTTCTCAGTTGTCCATGTACACATAGTCATATTAAAAGAAAATCTGTTCAAATTGGGTCTTTGTTGTTGTTGTTTAGATTGACCTAGCATGAAAACACCAAATAAAATGTGTCTGACATAGTTTTAACTTTCTCATGTTATAACTGTACTTAGGTTGACTCTCGAGTTTTCCAATTGTTCTTCACTTAACCTCAACTATCTTCCTCTGAACAGGCATACAGAATAGGTTTCTTTAAAATTTAGAGCAGGAATTCAGTTTTTGCTAGGTTTTCCTTTTTTTATTTATATTTAACTTGCACAAAATCATTAGCAAACTGAAAGTCTCTAAGTAATCAAGTTTTAATTAGAAGTAATAGAAAATTGTTAACTCTTATTTTGTTAGTCACACTGCCTTTACAACAGTTGGATTGCTTTCTCTCCAGCCCCTTTAGATCAGTACATATCTACTTACTGATCTTAAAGAGGTGCTCAGTAGGGACTGCATTAAGGGAAGGTCTCAGGGATCAAATATGACCCTCTCCATGGCATGAAGGTGCATGGGCTTTTTGTTTCCACAAAAAAGTGTGGTGTTTTTCCACACCATTGTGGTATGTTTTAGTCACCAGTCACATGTTCATTTGGTAGATAGCCACAAACCGTTACTGGACGGTAAGGCTATAGGTTTCCTCTTGCATAACTTCGCTGCTGCTGCTGCTGCTGCTGCTAAGTCGCCTCAGTCGTGTCCAACTCTGTGCGACCCCATAGACGGCAGCCCACCAGGCTCCCCCGTCCCTGGGATTCTCCAGGCAAGAACACTCGAGTGGGTTGCCATTTCCTTCTCCGATGCATGAAAGTGAAAAGTGAAAGTGAAGTCGCTCAGTCGTGTCCAACTCTTCACAACCCCATGGACTGCAGCCTACCAGGCTTCTCTGTCCATGGGATTTTCCTGGTGAGCATACTGGAGTGGGTTGCCATTGCCTTCTCTGGCATAACTTCAATACCTGGTGGCATATTCTAATAAAAGCAAATCTAAAACAGTTCTTTCACATGAACAAACATTAATTCACAGAACGACCTTTGGAAAGCTTGAGTAAGTTCCTTCTCAAAACCATCAAGGTGTCTGTGGGATTATGATTTGCCTCACAGCAGGTAGGAGCACAGTAATATTCTAAAGGCAGGATTAGGTAAGCTGATTGAATCAGGAAGCACAGTCCTAAATGGGTGGGTTATAGGAAGGTGAACCCCCAGAACTCTACACCTACAGTACTAATTAAAAGTCCTGAGCTTGCAGGATCTGCCATATTCTTTTACCTCATGCATATTCCCTCTCAGCCTTTCTAGACAACCACTGATCTTTCAAGCTCCATTAACTAATGAAAAGTTAGTACATCCTTTCTGCTGATTAACAGTGATACAGATTTAGATAGCAATGTTTAAAGCCACCAGATTGGGGTCTTTCAAATCGTATCTGTCCTACCCCCATGGTAGATTAAACATATATAGCTTATATATACATGTAGGTATACTCTCGAGAGTCTCTTCGACAACAAGAAGATCAAACCAGTCAATCTTAAAGGAAATCAATCCTAAGTACTCATTGGAGGGACTGGTGCTGAAGCTCCAATACTCTGGCCACCTAATGTGAGGAGTTGACTCACTGGAAAAGACCCTGATGATTGAAAGCAAAAGGAGAAGAGGACAACAGAAGAAGAAATGGATTGATAGCATCACTGATTCAATGAACATGAACTTGAGCAAACTCCGGGAGATAATGAGGGATAGGGAGGCCTGGCATGCTATGTATGGTCCATGGAGTCACAAAGAGTTGGACATGACTTAACAACTGAACAACAACATACATACACACATACATCACAAAGTATATGTTAAAGTGTTTTGAAGTAAATTATTGCATATTAACTAGAGGAAAAATGGCAACCCACTCAAGTATTCTTGCCTAGAGAATTCCATGGACGGAGGAGCCTGGCAAGCTACAGTCCATAGGGTCACAAAGAGTCACAGGCACCAATAAATGCAACCATCTTTTGCATTTTTTTTTAACTAATGGAAATGATTCACCTATTGGCTTATATATGTTTTGTGTATAGAACATTAAAAGTCATGATGAAATGGTTATTCTCAGGTTAGAAAAGCAATTTTAGATGACCTTCTAAGAAACATCATCCCTTCAATCCTCCCATCCCACTTGAACACCTAAACCTGCTCAAAAATACTGTCATTTTTTCACATCTTTTGGCTTTTCATTGGTTTGGGGCAGGAGCTGTAAAGACAAAAAATGGAAGAGAAAAGCACCATCCTGTGAACAGAGACAATTTAAAGTTTGTTACAAGTATTTTGCTAATAACTGTTTCCTTGGTGACTACTAGCTTGAGGTTTATGTTGATAGTTTTGATTACAATTTCAGAGATCAAAGAAATTTTATGAAATGACAAAAATTAAAAAGAATATTAACAGCAGCAGGGGGAAAGCAACAAATAACATACAAAGGAACTCCCATAAAGCTATCGGTTGATACTTCAACAGAAGAAACTGCAGGCCAGAAGGGAGTGGCATGATATATTTAAAGTGGTCAAAGGGGAAAACCTACAACCTCTACCCAAAAAGGATCTCATTCAGATTTGGAGAGATCAGAAACTTTACAAACAAGCAAAAGCTAAAATTTTAGCACCAACAAACCAATTTCACAACAAATGTTAAAGAATTAGAAACAAAGTTATGAAATGAAAAGCTTTTCATTAAAAGCAAATACACAGTAAAGGTAAGAAATCATCCACAAACAAAACTAGGGAAGTAAGACAAAAGTAGCAAAATCATCAAGATCCACAATAAGCAGTTAAAGGGATACATAAAATAATTAGATGATACACAAAACAATTAAAATGATTGCTGTTTCCACTATCATATTTTACATCTAATTGTTTTGTATATCCTTTAACTGCTTATATACATAGATAGATAGATCCAGGTGGCACTAGTGGTAAAGAATCCTGCCAATGCAGGAGAAATAAGAGACAATTTCAATCCCTGAGTCAGGAAGATCCCCTAGAGGAGGAAATGGCAACCCACTCCAGTATTCTTGCCAGGAGAAACCCATGGACCGAGGAGCCTGGCAGGCTACAGCCCATGGAGTCACAAAGAGCTGGACATGACTAAGCATCTGAGCATATCTAGATATATAGTCTATATACACACAAAAAGCAATTCAAACAACACTAAAGATAATCACAAGAGTAAAGAATAAAAGGAGAAAGGGGGAGAGGAAGACCTACAAAAACAAGCCCCAAACAATTAACAAAATGAAAATATGAACATCAGTTCAGTTCAGTCGCGTCCGACTCTTTGCGAGCCCATGAATCGCAGCACGCCAGGCCTCCCTGTCCATCACAAACTCCCGGAGCTTACTCAAACTCAAGTTCATCGAGTCGGTGATGCCATCCAGCCATCTCATCCTCTGTCGTCCCCTTCTCCTCCTGCCCCCAATCCCTCCCAACATCAGGGTCTTTTCAAATGAGTCAACTCTTTGCATGAGGTGGCCAAAGTATTGGAGCTTCAGCTTCAGCATCAGTCCTTCCAATGAACACCCAGGACTGATCTCCTTTAGGATGGACTGGTTGGATCTCC